AATATTTGTTCACAATCAACTTTTAGAGAATAATGTGTTTTAGTCTTTCTAGAAAGTCCAAGACATATTTATTAAATTCAAATATTGATATAAATATATATTAATTAAACAATTGTTACAAATATCAGTTAGTAATATCGTTATAAAGATTGATCAAAGCCACTTTTTTTCATTTATCATATTATTTATAGTCATTTAATTAATTTTTTGTTTATTAATTTTAAGAAGATGATTTTATTATTGGAGACAGAAAGAATCATCATTTATAATCGCTTATTGTTATAATATATTCGGGGTACTTATATAAATATAAATTTGTTTTGAGATATTAAGTTTATTCTGCATAGAGGTTTTTCAAAAACACTATGGTTATAATATTGCAGATGTACGAGCGTACGGTACCTTGAAAAAACCTAGGTTTAGTCAGAATGGATTGATTCTATTAAGAAAAGTCGGCTGTTTTGGCCTTGTGCTTGTATATGATCCGCCTCTTGATTGTTGTTGCTGGTCAGTATAAGTTGGGAGATTCGTATGGCAAGTCAGTGACAATTTTAAATAAGTACTTAATTCCGTTTTTTTTTTCTTTTTAAAAGAATTGCATTTCATCGACACACCAGTGTTTTGTGGCTTCATTTTGAAAAAATTGATATGTACAAAAGCAAAGTGCAAAGTAGATCTTGAACTATAATTCAACAATGGGCAATTTAAAAAGCCATTTAAAAAAAACACATTTCTACATATGCTTTATTGGAAGAAACTGATGTAGGAACATCTCAGCAGACTCGCCCTTCACCCTATATGAGAAATGCCATAGAGGCTGCACCGAGTTTCAGTTGTGCACTACTATAACAAGATACAAATGCGTGCCAGTTTTGAAGTCTTTCATGACTAAAAAGATCAGCAATGAGCAGAAAAGGATGATTGACAATAATTTAATGGATCTTTTCACTGACAGTTTTCATTAGTTGAGGCAAAAATGTTTAAAAAATTAATGCGCTGGAAATCAGGATATATTCTTCCATTTAGGAAAACAGTATCAGAATGTTTGCTGGAGGAACAATATAATAAGGTACTAGGAAGTGCATGAGAGCAAGTTCTAGAAGTGGAAACTCTATGCATAACTTTGGATGTTTGGACATCCGGGGTACAGTCATATGTTGCTGTTAACAAAACACTATAAACGGAAAAATATTCTTCTCGGATGTTGCTAATTTGAAGAGATTCATACGTTTGAATATTGCAGCAGAAATACAAAGACTGCTCACTGAATGGTAATTACAACAAAAATTTAATTTTTCCATAAGCGATAATGCAAGCAATATGAAAAAGGCCATTAAAACCATTTTGCAAATAAGGCATTATGAATGTTATCCTCATACAATAAACTTTAGGAATGTTACTACTTACAAAAAAATTCAGAAGAACGAAACACAAATATATGGGCAAACAAAAAATTAACTCAGGACATTGATACAAGATAGAATTCCACTTTTTATATGGTTCAAAATTTTGTGGAAGTAGAAAAGGCAATAAGGATAACTATGAGTATCCTTGATACAAATTTCACACCAATAACACCAGAAACATGGAAAATGGTAAATCAAATATGTTTAATTTTAAAACCCTTTGAAAACATAACAAATTCAATAATGTGCTGTATGTAATGTACTAATAATGTGCTAAAATGAGTCTTGCTAAAAATATTACTTCAAAATGATTTGTTGACAATTATTAGAAGAAATACAGGAATATTTAAATCAAGCATTCACGACAGATTCACAAATGTCGAGAGGGGAGTGAGACATTTGGAATATGTACATCAGTGGACAAAGAATTTAAGATACAAGGATTTTTTAATATAGAAGACTAATACTCATTAATGTCATCTATCCTTCTATGGAATATATTATACAGTTTAATAGGAACATCATCACATCAATCGACTCCTTTATGTGCAGCCATCAAAGGAATAGATATGTATCTTGCTGATGATGTATTGCCAATCAGACCAGCAAGTGGCACATTCAATTGCCCAATGAAATGGTGGAACGAGCATCAACACATGTATCCAAATTTGGCAAAAGTATTTAAAAGATTTGCAATATTGTGGCCACCTTTGCTCCATGTGAACAAATGTTTTCTAAGACAGGCGTCATATTAAATGGAAGAATATCGAGGCTAAAAAGCACAAAAGTATCATTTTTTAATGTCAATCAAAACCATAAGCATTTTTATCAGTTAACTTTGTATTTATTATCTAATGTAGCATATATTTGAAATGTTTACATAATGTTTATACTTTATAAATTGAAAAACTATTAGTTATAATTTAATACTGATTAGATATATATATGAAAATAATTTGTTTAATTTGCAAGATTTCACTAAAACAGTCATTTAAATTAACTTTTAATTTTAACGTACAGGTTTTACAAAATGTGATGTACAGGTAGCCCACGCATAACACGGTACATCTATAATACAGATTCACTCTAACGGGGTTCAAGATTTGATACCATCCCGTGTATAACATAGTACTTTTAAAGCATGGGTTTACTCTAACATGGTTTGAGAATTAAGCAAAACCCTAATAAAATGAAAAACATAGTAAAATCTATAAAAATCAAACATCATTTAACCTAAAATTTGTTTTAAAAAAGATTTGATACTTATTATTTGAGCGCGTACGTTCTCTAGAAAAAAATTCTAGACTTATCTGAACAATTAGTCAATTAGTCTTAAACAAGGATTCTTTGAATAATATGAGCACAAAAATTTTATTTAATAAAGGTAACTTTGCATGTGCTAAATATATAAATATATTTTCGCTAAAAGCAAGCAATTGCAAATATAATTGTTTTTGAAAAAAATAATGCACGAATCTGAAGGTAGTACAGAAAGCTGCTCACAGAATGAGGATATCTTGCAAAAAAAGGATAACGTTGGATAGCACTTACCATATAATTGATGTAATATATATTACTTCTTAAAAAAATTAATAAATCTAACAATATTTATTATAAAATCATGATATGTTGAATGTTATTTTTGAATTCTTGGAACATAGCATCTCTTTTTGTACTAGTTCTTTGTCCCATATAACACGGATTCGCATAACACTCTACTTTTCTGGAACGTAATTACCGTGTTGTACGGGGGTTACCTGAATAGTATTAAATATTCTTGTTAGTTGACAACTTAACTAACATAAATAGATACCTACTAGTTTTTAATGGTTAATATTTTCATATTGGTTTTATTACTACCAATATGGACTTATGGCATAGAATTGTTGAGCTGTGTGAGCAAATCCAACATAGTGCTAATGCAACATGCGCAATCTCAAGAATGGAGCTTAAGGTATGTACTACACAAGAATAAAACAAAAATGTTGACAGCAGAGATTCAGCGGAAGAGCAAAAAAAATTTCGATGGTGTTTGTAAAAAGGAGTTGGTTTACCATAACTGAAATAATGGATCAATTTGATGCAACGTATCTCCCGCGTTAAACGGGGTATTCCTCTATATATTTTCATCATGACATTTTCACTGTCTTGAAATTTTTTTTTAAACCTAACCTGAAAACTATTTTTTCATTTTCCATCAGATTGTTATTTTAATAAGATGTAAATTCGATGTTTTAGTGTATTTGTAGCTTTACTTTCACGATAAAAAATCAATTCACATTTAAATCTGTTTGTTCATCAAATCGGTTGACATTTGAACAAACTTCACATTATCAACTTTCAATGGAACAGTTATTTCATGTTTACTTATCTATGGTGAACACCATCATGTATCACTTGTAATTGCTAACTTCAAATTTTCACACTGCATCACCGTTTACGTGATAATTTTGTACTAATGGAAAAAAATATAAATTAGCAAGACACGAATAACTTTGGTGAACACTTCTCACAAAAAAATTATATTAAATAATTTATAACCATAAATGTTCAAATGCCATGATTCAAGAATCAGAAGTGACGAATCCGGTGAACTACAGAATGCGCTCGTAAAATCAGATCGATATTTACAAAGCAAAATCTAGTTACTATAACTTCATTTGGTGTTTACTTCATTTTGGCAATTTGTGGTATTATCACCATAAAGAATTAATTCACTGAACATAGATCTTAAATTATTTTTTTTATTTAATTTTTTTTTTTAAAATAATGATTTTACTCTAAATATTTGTTCGAATATTAGGTGTTTCATACGGTATCGGTAATTAATGCTAATAACACACTCGTTAATATTAAGTAGTTGCGTAAACACCACATCCACGTCAACATCTATTATTTCAACCTTATGCTTATTTATGATTTCAACTTATCTATGATTTCAACATCCAAAATGTTCAGAAGGTTTGGAAACGTAAACATACATAAAGGTGCGCCACACCTAACGAACGACATTTGAGCCATCTATAATCAAAGTTTCACAATACTCAGTATCAAAGCAGGGTTTAATCGCAAATCAGGGTTCAATATTAAAGCGCATTTGTGCGGAGATAACTCCCCATAATGCTCAGTGCTCAGCGTGAAAGCATATTGAAATTGAAAAACACACAATCTCTCTAGATGGCATCACACAGCTCTTGGAATAAAAGCTTATTATTTTTTCTGTTTACACAAACAAATGATAATGCGGTAAAATTGATAGATATTTAGCAATTAATTATTATTTATGATTATTTATGATTCGTGCATTATGTAATTTTAACTAATGAATTCTAAATCATGAGTTCAACGTGAAGTTAAACGAAATAGTTCTTGGCGCTAGGTGTACTCGTGTACTCTTCTTTCATCTATGGTTGTACGCTTAGTTTTTTTGCTAATGCTGTTTCGGCTCTAGACTCTAGATGAGCATATTACCAATCGTTTAGCAAAAACAAAACTTGACATTCTCAAAATGGAGTCGCTAGTAAATTATGAAAGTGATGATTCTGAAAATTACAGTACAATAGGAGAACATATGGTAATTAAGGAAAAATAGGTTAAATAAATATAGTATATACCTATTAGTTGAAAAAGAATATAAGTCCAATTAAGTTTGGCAGTGTTATGAAGCTGATACTACACTTACTTCTGAGTCATAGAAGTTGTAGTTACTATTTTAATGTAGATTCTGTATAACTTGACCGGGGACAGAATGTAGTTCATGAACTTGCATTCTTTTAGCAGTTTTCATTCTATTACATACTTATTGAGTTTAGAAAAATTATTAACGCATTTGCCGTTTGGATTCTTTAATAGTTGTCATCATTAACAGACTGCTGGTAATTCGTCTGACAAGCTTCATGATACAAAACAGCCCACAAAGAGCAGCAGATTATTTCATCGAAGATGGGATTCGAACTGTGAGAACATCAGAATGGACCTAAGCGAGGTATTGTTCATTCCCTGTTTCTTTAGTGATCATAAGTTCATATATGCAGTAGAAACTCGTTTATCCGGATCTTAGTTATACGGATTTGCGATTACCCGGACTACCAACTGTGACCATTTTATATGGCCAATTTGTTATTTAGCAGCAATGAAGAAGAAAAGGTGCTTACGTTGAATGACAATTATCAAATATTTTAAACCAAATTGAAATTATTACCTACACATTTCATGATTACCAAATGCATATTGTAAACAAATTATTTGTACATAACTACCTAAATATTTCATTCCATTATTAATGCTCCTATTTAGTATTATGTACGTGATGTAATCTAAGATAATATGTATGTACATTGTACATACATAAGTGAGTGTTAATTTCTTAATAAACATTGATTTTTGTTGATATATATGTATTTGTTGTTTTTAATAAACAGATAACATAGAAGTTGTAGTTACATAGTTCTTCATACATTCGATTGTCCGGATTTTCGATTATCCTAAACCCTATCGACAGAAATTAATCCGGTTAATCGAGTTTCTACTGTAATTTCAAAATGCCTTGGATCAATTTATTAACATTATATTGTGCATTATATACTATTACTTCAACCGATTGCCCAACATGTGATAATGTCAAAATAATTATCACAATAATTGTTGAAATCAGATGTAAAATGCAGCTCAGTCCCAACTCAGTAATTTGATATGTACATAAAAGGATTTTTTCATTTGGGTGAGTAATTTTTGCTTTTAATTATAAACAAAAATGTATGATTTTAAATAAATATGCTAATCTCTTCATGACTTTTTGTTTTGAATTATAGGACTTCTATTTAAGTTATTGTGGTTGTGGCAATATTCGCAACTTATTGGTTGAAATGTACATTGTGATCCGATCTAAATCTAATAAGCTAGGAATATTATTAATTTTTATCAATTTTTTTATTTGTTATATATGTATAATTAAATCAGGTTTTGAATCAAATATTGGATATGCATATGTGAAAGCTAAGTCTTATTGACTACTTTTGATTCAAAAGGCGTTTTTAGTTGATTTTTATTATGTAAAATTTAATACATTAATCTAAATCAATTTGTACTTATTTGATTAATTTTATTATAACTTTTATTGTTCTATTCAGAAATATGTCCAATTCTGTTTTTGCACAGTAGATATTCAGATAAAACTGCATGTTTTAAAGTGTGTGTGTAAGTGTATGTATAAAATAATATGTATATAGAAGAAAAAAGAATTAGTTATATATTTTGCGCATCTGCTAAAGTAGTGGAAAGAAATCATCTAAAAAATACATCTGAAAAAAGATTAACAAGATATATATATATATAGTAATAAGAAAATAAAATTGCTGCACATCAATAAGATTAAAAAATAATTTTATGTGCTAAAATGTTCATCTATTTCTATCTGATATACGTTGTGTTATTTGAAGAAGCGCCCAAAATAAAACATTCAATGATTATGGAAAGTTCTATCAAAACTTTGTGTTATGAAAAGTATGTCTATTCAAAAATCTTTTTGAGAAATATCTTAATGATGCTTAATTTAAAAGCATTCACCATATGCAAAATAAATCTAAAATATAAATTTACTTGCTATGATTACCATTAAATTAATTCTTGAGTTATTACAACAAGTGACATATATTTGTGTTTGCAACTCACAGAATTTGTTACATCTTTTATGCTTTTTTCAAAGCTTATGACACTGTTCTTATGCAATGATATTCATTGTTTAACCTTATAATGTTACTCGTGCAACGATAGCGCGTTTGTGAGAAATAAAGTTATTAAATATACATTTAAATATTCTTTCTATTTATACAAATGTCGATAGTAACTTTGACTATGGTTTGTAAATCTCATGTATACATATGTTTATTTATTTCTTTAATCTAATGAGTTTCGGTGTACCTGATTTTAGCTTGTACTACTATCATAAGGAATGTTGTTTAGTAATAGTTTATTTCGGGAAACATTATTGTTAAAGAATGGTATGGTGATTCATGCTTTGTATTATGCTAAAGGTTTTTCAAACGGTTACACATACTTGTAATTTATTAGAATTCATTTTCGTCATTTGTTATACTCTTCATATGTTTATTGATCATATATTGTCCTTCTTGGCAACCAATGTTATTGGTTACTTTATAATATATATATATATATATATATATATATATATATATATTTATATACATATGTGCATGTATTGTGAAGAGTGCAGCTGACCATTTGCATGTCAAATTAGTGCCTATATAAACTGTTTTATACTAAAAACAAACTAACAAATAAAACATTAAATGTATACAAATAAAACATTAATAAAGTTGAGAAACATTTAAGTACAAACTTTGTCAACATTAACATCAAACTGGAAAAGTGTTCAAGTGAATCGACTTGCCATGAGAAAAAAAGCTTTATTGTAATGAACAAATGTGAATATTATATATATATATATATATATATATATATATATATATATATAATGCTGACTAAACATAATACTTTATGGGCATCCATCCTAATAATAAAAATGGAAAGAAAAGTAATATGAGTTAAATAATTTTAATAGATCCGTATGTTTCGAGTTCGAATTTGACTCTTTCTCAGTGGACACAACACAAATTATTAAGATACAAACGCAATTAAAAACCTAATAAATGAAAATATTATTTTACAACACCATGTTAGTATATCATTTAATATATATCATTTAATTTTGTTATATAATAAATAATTTTGTTCACTGAGGAAGAGACAAGTTAGGACTCAAAACATATGGATGTATTAAAATTATTTCAAGTAACTAAATTTTAGTTTATCTTTTCTATTTTCATTGTTTGGATGGATACCTCTTAAAGAAGTATTTTGTTCAATCAACATATTTTTATCACCATCTGAGAAAATTATTATATATACCAGTGTGTTTAATTACATATTGGCTGAGTAAAATTGAAGGAATTAAATTATGACTTCCCAATGGTTCAGGTCTGAAACACTTTACCTAATATGTTTTTTAATTTTATCTTTTTTTTTTGTTTATAGGATTCAAATCAAAGCAGCACATCAGAGTTACACCCGCATGCAAGTAGGAATAAAAATTATTCTGATGATTCAAAAAGCTATAATAATCAACAATGGTCGAATAATTCTGATGTAAGAATAGAAGTATTCAATAATTATGATTTTTTTTTTGGTTGTATTATTGTATTATTATACAAAAAATGATTATTTTTTGGCATCATGAATCGAATTTAATTGAATAAAGCATTTTCTATAAAATAATTTTTTTCACATTTGTAAACATTTATCTAATTTATCTACATAGGTTTTGTCTATACAAATAATTTGTTTTCAAAAATTACAACAAACATAAAATATCATTCAAATTTACTTTTTTAGAGAGAATTCCAAAATAGAGATCAGAGGCGAAGTAATCATAAGACTTCACCTCAGCGAGAAAGGAATGGTAATGAGGATAAACTAATTCACACTGATGATTATAGTAAACACAGAGATGGAGATCATACATCACGTGACAAAAACTACAGAGACCGAGATCGCGATAGATCAAGACATGTGGATAATAGGGATAGAAATAAATACAAAGATAAATATGATCGAGACTATGATTCCAGCAGGAGGTAAGATTATTACTGTTATTTATAATTTTGATGAGATTTCTCTTAATTAAAGATTGAATCATATTTGTATGCCATATGATGTACAAAAATTATATGAATACAAGAGTATATAGTAGATGCAAAGAAGGTACTTTTTTATATAGCTTTTACTAGTAATTACTCAGGATTAAGTTGACTAATAATATATATATATATATATATATATATATATATATGTATGTATGTATAAATTAATCTTTAATTCCAAACGTTTCGACATTCAATTTGTCATCATCAATGGATATTAACTTTGGTAACATACATCTAAAGATATGTACACAGCACAAAAATTAGCACTAACATTTATACAACTAACTTGTCAACACAATGAATTCTTATCCTTTTCTAATATGAAATGTAAAAAGAATAATGATAATTTTATTTGACAAAAATGTAAAAAGTTAAGTAATTACTAGTTATGTAATAATTACATGTGGTTTTATGAAAATATTTTTATTTCAACATATGTATTTATTCGATTTTTTTTTTTTTTTTTAATTACCTAATATTTATTCATAGAACATAACCTGTATTGAAATTATTACTTAAGAATACTTTTAACCCATTCAAATAGAAAAAACCAATTACATTGCTAATATGTTTGTTTCTCTTTCTATATTCTCATAAATAATTTTCATTCAATTATAATAAGTTATATTTAATATAATAACTAAAAGAGACTTAAAGCCATGAGTTGTTTTACTTTGTATGCATCTACTGTTTTTTTTTTCAGTTTTCTTAATTTTTTATTTCTTATTTTTTTAAATATGAATTATTGTTTTCTTCTAAAAATTATTATTTCTTTCTACAAAAATCTATTTTATTTTTTTATTTTAAGTGGTAAGGTATGTAAAAATCCATTTATTTAAGGGGTGACAGAGATAGAAGACGATATAGAGATGATGATAGAAGTAAGACGTACAGAGATAGAGATTCCTATCGTCACCATGACAGGTCTAGGCGCAGATCTCGTTCTCGATCCAGATCTAGGTCTGGGTATGTATATTCTTTTATAAAGCATCACACACACATATATATGGGTCATTCTTTTACAAACCGGGCACCAACCATACCTCGACATTTTAGAATTGGCTGAAATTTTTTTTATAGATATTATATATAAAATCATTTGACACGTATTAGTTTACCAGTTTCAAAAATATGAGCATTTTGTATAAAATGTTTGCTACTACATATTTTAGATAATATTTTATTTTTCCTCAGTAACGAAATTGTAAAATATTTTAGTTAAAAATAGTACTTGTACTCATTTAATACGCGCTATGCGCCTTTCAAACGGACGCGCGGCGCGACTTTCCCTCGAAAACATTTAATATCTTCCGATGTAACAGCCATCCCATCGAATTGTAAAAATAATTTTTAAGTAGATAAAAAAAGAAACAATATGTTTTTTTACGCAATCGATTTAAGTTGGGGCGCCCGTGTGTAAAACCAATGTTAACAATCAATTGTTATTATTGTTAAAATAATTGCAAAAACATTATTTTTTTTAAATTACTTCAAAGTTGAGTTCATAATGAATATAATAACAAAAAACAATACTGATCTGATCAACACAACTGAAGATAATTAACATAATGCAAAGAAAGATCATAAAAATTGAGAAAATCGGCAATATTTCAATCGTAAATATCAACGAAAAAATTTTTTTGCCGGCAAAATCCTGAAATACGTGTCAAATGATTTTATCTATAATATCTATAAAAAAAATTTCAGCCAATTCTAAAATGTCACATATTTTTTTTACCAAAATCCGCCCGATTTGTAAAAGAATGACCCATATATATATATATATATATATATATATATATATATATATATAGAATTTTTTCATATGAGTGGAATGAATATTAAATGTTGAATATGAACAATATAACGCTGATTTTTAACACACACTTTATTTAATAATTACAGACGTTTCGGGACCATGGTATGCCTCATCTTCAGTGTAATTTCAAAAACAGTTACTTATATTTTACACATTCTTTAATATTTTATTTAAATTACATTTAATTTTTGATATACAAAAAACACCAACTATTCTTTGCAGTGCTTGACTCAGTACTAAAAAACATGTTAAGAATGTTTAGAATATTTCTGTAAGTGTCACATGTTTTTTAGTACTGTGTCAAGCATTGCAAGGAATAGCTGGTAGTATATAAGTAACTGTTTTTGAAATTACACTGGAGGTGAGGCATACCATGGTGTTTATACCATGGTTAAATAAAGTGTGTGTTAAAAATCTGATGGTTGTATTGTTCATATTTAACATTTAATATATATATATATATATATATATATATATATATATATATATATATTAGGGTGGTCCTTAAAATGGTCATTGTCGATTTTCCTTGCTCCCAGGGGCTCAAATGGTTCCAAATTGATAAAAAACAATTCTCTGAAAGTTTTAGCTCTTAATATTAACGTTTAGATAGAGTGCAATTCAATCAAAGTTTGTATGGAAAGAGCATGGAAAAATTTTTGAAAATTTAAAAAAAATGTGTTAGGTATAACTTAGCGACAAATGAATGAGCTTTATTCATTCATTTGTTCGCTAAATTACATCTAAAAAACATTTTTACAATTTTTGAAAAATTTTCCATGCTATTTCCATACAAAACTTTGATTGAATTGCGCTCTATCTAAACGTTAATATTAAGAGCTAAAACTTTCAGAGAATTGTTTTTTATCAATTTGAAACCATTTCACCCCTGGGAGCAAGGAAATTCGAAAATGACCATTTTAAGGACCACCCTAATATATATATATATATATATATTTTTTTTTTTTTTTGAATAGTCTTGAATTTGATGTTGATATATATGTTTAATTTGAGTTTAATATCGGGCGTAACATCAATAAAAATAGTATGAGTTTTTTTTAAAAATTTATTTATTTAAAATCCATACGTTTCGGCTAGCATCTTAGCCATCATTCAGTGGTAATCAAGTTAACTATAAAAATTGAAACAAATAAATTATATGAAAGGAAATTTCAGGGAAAAACAATAATAATAATAACAGTAAAAACACTTACAATTTTGTATTTAATATAGCATATGAAACCATTATTAATCCATGGTATGAGTATGTGCACATTGATAAGATATGTATTTTTTAACACAAACATCACAATGGTTTAGGATCCTAAACTCCGAAGAGTAAATACATAGTTTCGACAACTTGTCAAGTTATCATGATTATTAGTGTGTTTTACCATTTGTGATGTTTATGTTAAAAAATACATATCTTATCAATGTGCACATACTCATACCATGAATTAATAATGGTTTCATATGCTATATTAGGATACAAAATTGTAAGTGTTTTATTACTATTATTATTATTATTGTTTTTCCATGAAATTTCCTTTCATATAATTTATTTTGTTTCAATTTTTATAGTTAACTTGATTACCACTGAATGATGGCTAAGATGCTAGCCGAAACGTATGGATTTTAAATAAATAAATTTTTTTAAAAAACTCATACTATTTTTATTGATGTTACGCCCGAATATTAAACTCAAATTAAACATATATATATATATATATATATATATATATATATATGAATATTAATTTTGTAAATGTAAGTGTTGTAAATTTATATTTGGTGTTATCACATTTGCATAAAATTATAATTTAATGGATTAATATATATAAATCGCAGGTCAAAATAACATATTTCAATTTTTACAGTTTGAATACTTACATGATAAAATCGTGCTTAAACACATTTCAGCATATTACAAATTGATTTTAAGTTTCATGTATAAATTAATGTTTTTAAAATTACTGTGTTTTGATTATTACTGTTTACATATGTACAGTCATGTTGCAATAAGTTTTTTTTTTTTTTTTTAAATAGTTTTTTAAGTTTATCAAAACCAAAACTATGATGTTGATTCGATATATTTCATATTCTGAACATTCTAAGGCAATGATATTATTAGATTTTTCAATGTACTGATTATTTGGATTATTATGCTAGTTTTTGATTCTTCCAACTGCAGTATCAGAAGCCCAATTTTTTGTGTGTATATACACAAGTGCTCTTATGAACAAAAATTCCAAATATTACTAAGAGATCCTAGTTAGCCTTTGTCCAAACAATTTTTAAGCGGTTGCTTTAGAATAAGTTTCAAATTTTATATTACAATTTTTTTTTTTTTTTGAAAACGTGCATATTTTTTTGTTTTCCGGCCTATTTTCACATACAACCAGAGAATGTTCATGATAATTAAAACTCAAAGAATTTTTTTCAAATTGTTGAAATACCAACTTATTTTTATTTACTAAGAAACCATCTTCAATAAAATCTAATAAGTACGATTTGTAATTGTTATAATTTGAAGTTGAAGATTTTTTTAATTGTCAATTACAAGGAAACGACTGTATCATCATGTGAGACTAATCAAGGCATACAAATATATACGGTTTTTAATATTTTTTTTGCAAATGATTCAGAATGACCTCAAACGTTGAGAAATCTAAAATTATTCTTTTAAATCTTTTTCTCCTAAAGTAAAAAGTGCTTTTTTATGCATTGTCAATTATATTTTGACTAATCAGGAGAATGGGAAAGTGAATTGGGTTTTACAATCTTTTTTCAATGTTATGTTCATTTCATTAATTGAGCTACATTCCTTATTTTGCTTATAGGTCTAGGCCAAGGGATCGCTTTTATCGTACAGATAAAGCAGCCCAGAAAAGACAACTTTTGGAAAAACTGGGTATAGAACTGCAGGCTGTGGATACATCTACGTCTGGATCAGGGGAAACCTTAACTGGTACAGCAATACACAATTCACTTGAATTGCCCAAGTATTATAATCCAGGTGTGATGAATCCAGCAAAATATGCCCAGCAAATGCAAAAGAGAAAACTTTTATGGGGTAATAAGGGATCAAATGATACTAAATCTGAGGAACTTCGCACAAGGAGTTCCGAGACAAATCCTGCATGCAACAGTAGCAGCGCTTCAACAAGTGCTGGAGCACCAGCTAAATGGACGAACACCCGATTTGCTCAAGATGCTGATGGAAAGGTGGCATCTAAATTTATGAGACTGATGGGGATTAAAGATGCAGGTAAATTAAAATTTGAGGTAACAATTGCAAAAGAATCATAAAAACTTTATTCAAATTTAAATAGTGTAAATCAGAAACTGATGACTCATGTGATTTGAGCCTGCAATCTCATATAATATGGTAAAGAAGCAATTGGCACAAATGAATTTAATTTGAATTAAACAAGATCATTTTTTAATCAAATTATTTTTACTTGGTTCAAATGAAAAGAATCATTTCATTCTATTTGGCATGCTAATAATATGCTTATGAATTACTGTAGTAATGCAGTTTTTAGTTCAAATCATATTTTTATAGATTGTATTATATAGATATATATATATACAGTGGCGTCGGTAGCAAATTTTTGATGGGTGAGCTCGTTTTTTTTTTTAGACATATTAGACAATATCATATTTTGAGATTGATGGGTGGGCTCAAGCCTACACGGTTCCGCCACCACTGCATATATATTATATATATATATATATATATATATATATATATATATATATAATGTTCATTCATATATGTAATATATATGTTGAAGGTGTTTAAATTTCATGTTGAATTGTATCATTAATTTCTTGGAGGGCGTAACATCAAGTAACAAATAAATACAGTAAAGATTTTTAAAACATTTTCATTTTTCCATATGTTTTGATGTACAATTCTACATCATCCTACATGTTAACAACACATAACTTGTAAATAATTAATAATTGGAAACGAGCACTAAATGTCAGTTAATCATAAATCGTGCAAAAATTCGAATTATAGGTATGTACATTTATATAACTCTGTCGCTGTTGGTGGTCCGGAAAATCGCGAAGTCGTATAACTGAAATCCGGATAATCGAGGTTCCACTGTATATGTACACCAACTATCTCTTACAATGCTTGACACAGCACAACTTGTGGATATATAATTGAATATAAACGTGATATTTGTGATATATATATATATATATATATATATATAAACATTAGTTTTTTATGTTTATATTATACATATGTGGTATTTTGTAGCTATAGTAACTAGCTATGTTCATAAACTTACATTATGTAATAAATGTACTTACACATATAAATACTTCCAGCGGCCCCACCACCAAATGTAGTTCCTACAGAAGATGTTATTAAGAAGCAGGAAGAAATGTTTTCCACAATGGAGCAACAGTATGAAGTGGCAAGAACGGTTACACATACCATGAGAGGTATGGGTTTAGGCTTTGGCAGACAATTTTGAAGAAGTTAACTGATTAAACAAGTACAATTGTTATATTAGATTCTAATGAACATATGAAATACATTAGATTTTTGTTTTAAATTAGCTAGTGTTGTGTTTTTTGTGACTGAAACTAATAAGTTATTTCATACATTTAATTCACATATTATGTTCAAAGTTTGTGATACATAAATTTTCTTTTGCGAGACCAAATAAAATCTAAAAATGTTTCTAATTTAAATATTGTGATTTGCTGTATTTTCTTTTGGAAGAAATTTAGTATTAATAGAATTTATAGTATTTTTAGTTATTACTTACTACAAAAAAAGTTTTTTATGATGATTTTAAAAGTTAGTGAAAGCAAAGTTCAATGAATAAATAAATATTACCAAATATTTTCATTATAATCTATAGAAATATTCTATTGAATTATCTTTTTGCATAAAGCAGTCATTATTTCTAGGACATAATGTTATGAATCTCCAAGTAATATGAAAATGAGTAATGATTTTAAATTGATGCCATTGTAAAATAATTTTTATAGTTTTAATTCTCCAACAGTCATGCAGTAAAGATATATTCTTTGAGAATTTTAAATGTTGAAGAAATAATAACTTTTCTTGTATTTGTAGGTAGTTTGCAGTATATGCTACGTATAATAATGGTTCAAAATCTTGAGTTATTCTAGTTCAAATGTTACAAATTTGTGTCATTTGATTACTAGAACTTATCAGAAGTTTTCTATTGATTGAGTGGTACTTTAGAAGCAGAGAATAGCTTCAATGAATATTTTTTTCAGTTTACGCAGGTAATGTTTTAGTCAACTTGATGTCGATGAAAAAATTTCAAGCAACAAGTGTTAGGTTGGAGAGCTTCTTGGAAGTTAATAATTATTCCAGGTATTTGTTGAATTCTTTTTTAGCATAATTCTGCCTTCTAGAATAATATTAATTTGTTAATAAATTGCTGTGATAATTTTTACTGTATTTACATTTAAAAATTGCCTTTAAAATTTTTAACCAATATAAATCTTTTCATTATATTGAATAAATTTACTAAAATGGTTAAACATCAAAAAAATTTGCAATTTTATTATTATTTCGTCTCAGAGAGTGTTTTAATTTTCGACAAAGAAAGTAATAGCCCAATTTCAAGCATAAAACATTTTCATAATAAAATGCTATTATATATGTAATAATTAAAGTAATATTACATTAATTTTGGTTTTAATGTATGAAATTAAATACAAAGCAAGAAATAAATTCTATAAACTTGGTGTTGAAAGTTCATACCCCGAAATCTGAACTTCAAATGTAGAATGAAGTAACAAACAGTAAAATATTGCAAATATTTTTCCATTCTCAACTAATATTTGAAGTCATAACAAATTTTTATTTATTTAACTTCAAACATAAAAAGGAGTACCGAATGAAATATTGCTGTATGTTAGAATTAAGGTGCAGCTGATTGAATTTTACAGTACCAAGGAATTAGTAACTATTTCAAAGATAATGCTTTCACGATTTTTATGATGGAGTAAATTTTACGTACAAATTCATATTCAACTGCATGGTTCGCTCAGTTATTATTAATCATTTATGACAAATAAGTCTATTAAGTTATATACGTGTGATATAATTCTTAGATTTCAATTTA